TAAGTCATCGAGTTAGTGAGGCAATGTAATAATAGTAGCAAGGAACTGTAATGAAAATGTCATAATGATATGAAATGAGATGAAATCGTATACTTAATCAATATAGTTTATATCACCATGATCCTTACCCATAAGCATATTACATTAGCATTCACGAATTTGTATTAATAAGTTATTGGCCCATGATACCATACTGAGAACCTAAGGTACGTGAGTATTGTGAGGTTGTGCACTATGCTGTCATCACAGCTCGTATAAATTGTACCGAAGTGTCGCGTAGAAATTTGTCCCGAAGGACCGCGTAGAATTTGTCCCGAATGACTACATATAAATTCCTTAAGAATCATATACATATGCCAAGGATCAATTATGTGTCTCAAAAGACCTCACAAATGTTCCAAAGAATATATATATATCCCGAAGGACCGCGTAGAATTTGTCTCGAAGAACTACATATAAATTCCTTAAGAATTATATACATATGCCAATGATCAATTATGTGTCTCAAAAGACCTACAAATGTTCCAAAGAATATATATATCCCGAAGGCCGCGTAGACCCTCTACCCTTGGCATGCCAACTATACCTATAGTTCTCATTTACAGAACATGGGCTTTTACAATTCACATAATTTATATCGCATAGACATATTATTTCCATATCTTTATCACATGATTCATATAACTTTTCCTGCATATTCATGTCATATAATGCATATAATATGAATTCATGTCAAGTATCATAATATGGAATGTGATCATGTATCAAATATTGAATCTCACAAGTCTAGAACTGAATATAATACTATATTCATGTTATGCATATGCACTCACCTATATTTCCTTGCTTTTTCCTCGATCGATCTTACTTGTCGATTGTTCCAAAACTCGATTAGGCTCAATATTTACATAAACATAATTTTCAAGATGATTATCAGATGCCTAAGTCTTGCAATTAACCTCTAATAGCTTAAACAAATTTAAGGAATTGATATTTCATTTTTCCTTTAGGGGGAATCGGTTCCCCCTCTGGGGGTATCGATTCCCCTCTGGCATTCTGGAATTTCATATTCGTTTGAGGGATATCGATTCCCCTTGAATGGGTATCGTTTCCCTTGGCCCATAAATCCCATTTTGAGCTCGAAAATCACCTTATTTCAGCTCAAACCTTCATATTTTACTCTCTTTAACATTCCTAACTTTCATACACATATTTAAACTCATTTATACTCCATAATCACTTCTTTAAACTCCAAATCTAATCTTTCCTATGTAATTGCAAAATTATACTAGTTTTGGAACATGCTCAAATTCCTATTCTAACACTTCATATCCCTTAATTAACTTGATGACAAGTCAAATCTCACTTCCAATTCTTATTATGAACTCTAATTCAAGATTTCACTTTTCTATTTCATTTATTCAAATCCTTATATACTTCTCATCTTGAGGTTTTAAAACAAATTAAACTTCCTTTAAGTTTAACTATTACCTAATGGTCATAAATCAACCATAAATTCATCAATAAATTCACTAACAAGAGATCTTACCTTTAGCTTGGGTCTCACGTATGAAGAAGAAGAAGAAGAAGAAGAAGAAGAAGAAAACTCTGGAAGCTTGTTTTGGTTTCCTACACTTCCACGTGGTTTAATATAATACTAACCCCAATAATTATCTTTCTATGAAAATACAACTTTGTCCTTCTAATCCTCCTTCTTTATAATTTAATCCTACACAAAATAGCTCAAATAAGTCATTGAACTTTTCCATCATTCTACTTTAATCACCAAGTTCTGAAACTTTACAATTTATTCACTAACCCGGTATGGAGGATGTTACAGCGAAAGTGAATTTTTTTTTTACTTAAGGACTTAAGTGAGGCAAAGGTGAGTGCAACTTATTTATTTTATATTATATATGAGGACGACTTGCGATAAGCCAACCTCGGAGGTTTTTGATCGAAAATAATTTTATTTATTTTATGCAATATCTTTATAATGCTTTATATAAATTGTATTTTCAAAGTACTGTTTTTATTTTATTAGTATGTGAAAATGTTCTATGTGAATATGTTCTAGGTGAAAATGTTTTATGTGAATATTTTCTATATGAATGTGTTCTATGTGAATAAATGATACTTTGAATAATGTAATGTGAAATAATTATATGGTTAAAGCCCAAAGTATATGTTGTGAGAATTAAAGGTATAGTTGGCATGCCAAGAGTCGAGAGTTCTACGCGGTCATTTGGGACAATTCTATGTGATCCTTCGGGACAATTCTACGCGGTTCTTCGGGAAAAATCTATATGACACTTCGGTGCAAATTATACGCGGCAGTTTCGACTGTAATTACAGTGCACAACCTCAAATTACTCACATACCTTGAGTTTTCATTGATATACGTTGGGCTAGTTAAACAACTTGATATGAATTAAACAGTGCATAACATTATAAGTTATTTTATGAAATGCATATTGGCTTACGTAATCAATGTTTCTTTGAAAATGTTTAAGTAAATGATTTAATGTTTTATTACGCTCATTTATGCCTCACTAAGTCAATGACTTAGCGTGTGATGTTTTCACACGTAGGTTCAAAGAGGTCCGAAGAGTAAAGCTAGGACAATACAACATACACTTTGGAGAAGATCAAATTATATCGATTTGAACTGTAGGTGGTTTTGTTATTTTGAAATTTTGTTGGCATGTACTATAAATGTTTAAATCGCAAATGCTCTGATCAATTTTGTAATCATACTAATTTTAAGTTTATGTAAATATATTAAGTATTCATTTTCATCATGTAATATAAATTTTTGATATTAACTTTTAGAATGAGGTCTTCACCATTAAAAAAAGCAAAAATTCAAATTTTAAACTGATTTTCAAAAAGTAAAAGCGTTGAAAAGTCAATGTGACACCTCGAATTCGTATCTGGGTCGGGTACGGGTTGGGGGTGTTACAGAAAAATCACAAAGGTTTATGTTTCAAGAGAAACTGTCTTAAACGAGACAAAATTTTATTTCGAGATAAATAATCTCAAAGGTGACAGACAATCTGCACCTGCATGTTGAGGAGATCTAGTTGCCTTTAGAAGACCTGATCGTTACTTTAGGATGTCAAATCTGCGAACGACATTGTTCCTTCATGTTGAGGATGACTAGCCGTATTTAAAGATAACATTGTTCCTTCATGTTGTGAAAGTCTGGTTATCTGGATGACACTGCTCATTCGCGTTGAGGAGATATGGTCGGTGGACGACATTGTTACTTCGTGTTGAGGACGTCTAGCCGTATTTGGAGATAACATTGTTCCTTTGTGTTGAGGAAGTCTGGTTATCTAGATGACACTGCTCCTTCGCGTTGAGGATATCTAGTTGTCATCAATCATTTCTTTCCTGAAAGATCTATAAAAATGATGTATTTATGAATGACTATCTTGGATGTTTTTATAGATGTCAAGATGAAGTTTATTTCATGTATTTAATTTGATTTTTATTTTTATTTTAATAAAAATAACTTTTTGAGTTTGTCCTCATGAGAAGAGAAAATGATCTTGAGAAAGGAAATTTATATGTCCTCGTGAAAGTAGAAAAAATGGCCTTTAAGAAAAATGAAATAAGGATTTTAGGGAAAAATAATATTAAGAAAGACTATAACAAGCTCAGTCGTGATGATAGAAAACTGCTAGGAAATGCTCGAGAATTTCGAAGCATGGTCGGAGCGTTGTTGTATATCTTCCACACGAGACCAGATATTGTCTACAGTGTGAGCAAGGTAGCTCAATTCATGCATGAGCCACGTGAGTGTCATTTGTTGGCTGCCAAATGAATCTTGTGATACCTAGCTAGAACAGTGGAGTATGGGTTGGTTTTTTCGCCATCTAAGGCGACGCTGCATGTAGTGGCGTTTGCTGATGCTAATTAGGGTGGTTGTGTTGATGATCGAAGGTCCATGTTAGGCCATTGTGTGATGGTTGGTGATAATATGGTGTCGTGGAATGCAAAGAAGCATAAGGTTGTTTCAAGGTCAACCATGGAAGCAGAATATCGTAGCTTAGTTGATGCTGCTGCAGAAGTTGCTTGGGTTGATGCGCTGTTGACCAATCTTGGAGTGGTTCGACATGAGCAGCCCATCATCTGGTGCGACAATACCAGTGCAATTGCGTTGAGTGCAAATCCAGTTCATCATGCTCAGCCCAATCATGTGGACTTAGATGTTCATTTTATGAGGGAAAAATTGATGGAAATCAATTATGTGTTAGCTATGTCCCTACTGCTCATCAAGTTGCAGATGGGCTAACGAAACCGTTATCCAAAGTAGCTTTTACAACGTTTCGTGAGAGGGTAAATGTTTTCTTGCTGAAGAAAGGAGAAGAAGAAGAGGGAGAGTGTTGAAAGATAACGTGCATGGTGTGTAAGCTCACGTGCATAGCGTGCATCATCTTGTAGGTGAACTAAGCCTAGGGTTTTTAGGTTGTTAGTTCAACTGTTAGTCTGTTAGATCAACTGTTCAGTAGTTGAGTGCTATAAAAAGCGATGTATTGCAACTTTATGAATCAGAGAAAAATAAATAATAATTTTCCACTTTTCTTGGATTCTTTAACTCGTCCGTACAAGCGGCTTTTGGGTCGCAATTCACTGTCGGAGATCCATGTACTCAGCAAGCTTTTATGGGCTCTAGAGGATAGGGAAGGAGAAGTGAAAGCGGTCAGTGAAGGTGATGAGAGAGAGAAAGTTTTGGCTAGGGAGCGTTCTAATCCCCTTTATTGCTGTTTATGATCTGGATTGAGTTTGGCAAATCTTTTTGGCTTTCAAAACAGTATCTTCGAGGTTCTGAATGTTGCTGTCTTCTTACATTGAAACAAAAGAAAACCAGTAAGGTATTTAGGACATAACTTTAAGAAGAAACAAAAAAATCACAAAAGAATTACAACTTTTGATAGTAAAATTACAGAGTCAGATATTTACGAGAGCAGGCTTAGTTGATACACAGGAGGAGGCAAAAAGAGAACAGAAAAAAGTGATTGGATGAATGAATTATAAGGCAGTGGTAATTGGTAAATTAGCCCTTACAGATGCAAAAATATATGCTGAACACTGAAATCAGAACCAGAAGCTCATATACGTCTTGAATATCCAGAACCTCCACATTTCTTGCAAAGTATCAATCCTGTAACAATACCAGCGATTGCGTTAACACCGACGAGGCTCAATCCAACAGCTTAAGGTTTCATAAGTTATCAATTTCCAAACATTACTCCCCACACTGAATTGAAAGAGCACAAAGGCTACCATAGCTAGAGGATAGAATTATTGCAATGCTGGAATTCGAGTGTCAGACCTACTGGGATGCCACATATTTAAATGATGGTATTTTCTACCGATGATCTAATTTTGCACCCAGGGTTTCAAATCACGGTCGCTGTCACGTTTTCGTTCATTTTGGGTTTACCGTGATTGTGGCCGTCGATGGCTCTATTGCGGGTGTAGCAGGTAACTCGGACGGCAACGAAACCACGATTTCACGAACGAAATCACATTTTTAGACCATGATTTGAAACCCTGTTCGCACCAAATGAAATTTTATAATCTCGCACCACCTAAATTTTTAATATAACTTCCAAACTTCACATTCATGGCATAAAATAATGTGTCCAAGAACCAATTGTGCTAAGCCTGAGTTATGCCACTTTAAGGAATCTTACCTGCACCTTTACACACCCTACAATCGATCAAGCCTGTTTCTTGCTTCATCTTACCATCTGTACAAAAGACACATTTTGTACCTCCTACATCCATGCCAAAAGAAGAAAACTATTATCAACTTGTTGCATTTCAATCACATGTTCTTTTACAATCATAAAAAGGATTCTATGGGGGATTGGAACTTGATTTAATCAAGCAAGCAGGGCCAAAGGGTGCCAAATTTTGGTTAAAATAACAATATAACGAGAAGCAATTTAAATTGCGGTTACAGCCGTATTTTCGGTTGTTGACATATTTAACGCGGTTACAGACACAATGGTTAATGCAGGCAGGAATTTAAAATTGTTGTTGCAATCATGTTTTTAGTCACATTACGTTTATCATGGTTACAAATATAACAAATGCTACTGTAAATATAGCGGTAATAATTTTTTTTGAATGAGCTGATTTTTATCTTAAAAATTAGAATAGCGGAACAATGAACCACTCTTTAAATCCATGATTGCATTTCACAATCGGTCGTTACCCATTAAATTAAAATTGTGATCTACTATTGGTGTGAATCCGCTTAACGCCGCTATTTTTCGCAACAACGGTTTTAAAAACTGCCACTATTCTACTATTTAGCCGCTATTTAGATCCATGATTGTATTTCACAATCGGTTGTTACCCATTAAATTAAAATTGTGATCTACTATTGGTGTGAATCCGCTTAACATCGCTATTTTTCGCAACAACGGTTTTAAAAACTACCACTATTCTACTATTTAGCCGCTATTTAGATCCATGATTGTATTTCGGATGACACCATTAGCGCTATATAATGATCGTCATTCCATTAAGTCAGCGCTATTTAAATCCCAGATAACAAGGGCAAAACCATGAAGAAAAAAAGCTATAGTTTCTTTTAAACATTTGTTTAAAAAACAAGAGGGACAAGAAAAAGATTTACCATTTCCAGCACAGCGATCACATGGGACAGGATCACCCTGGAAAACCCACCACAAAAAGAGGGGGAAAACAAAATTTAGTCCATCAAATTAATGCATTAAAAAAAGGATGAAGGATAGATGAAAAGAGGGAAATACCTTGAGGCCAAGAAAGAGGGAGAGAGCAATGGCAGCCAAAACACTGATGGTGGAAAGGAAAGTTTGGGTGTCTAAAGGCCTATCGAAGTCGGTGAACAACAAAACAGGGTGGAGGAAGAGCCTTGCGGGTTGGTACAAAAGCTTCCTACGTTTAGAATTGATGGTACGGGACAGTTTAGGAATTTCGTGCTTTGTTAGGGTTACCTGAGGAAGGAAATGGTTAGTCGAAGAAGAAGAAGAAGAAGAAGAAGAAGAAAAGGAAGGGGATAGAAGATTGAGGGATGGAAAACAGAGCGTGGCCATGGATAGCAAATACATGGATTTTGTGGAGCTGAGTTCGATACTCTTGTTCATTCAGTTGCCTTTTTTATGGCAAGACGGATTTGCCCTTCTTCGTGTTGCTGAATCCAAATTATTATAGAATACCTTGTCATTCATTCGTTTAACTATAACCAAATATTATAGAATAATGACTTAAATTAACAAGTTTTGGAAAAAGTGATAATAGATGACGTGAAGATTAAAATTAATATAATTAATAAATTTAGTCATATTATTATTTTTCATTTTAGATTAAATTATATATTTAATATCCCAACTATCATTATTTCATTATAGTCACACAACTATTAATTTTTAAATCATAACTAATATCACATTTTGATTTTATTTTAACTACCCGTCATTAAAAAAATATAGAACCACTGATGTGGCCTTTTTTGAAAAAAAAAATCAATGATAGACATGGTATTTTCTTATTATGACATGTTGGCACCACTATTAAATTTTTAACGGTAAGTGATCAAACTTAAATCAAAACTTATCATTAGATATAATTTGAAACAAAAAATAATTAGGTGGCCAAATAAAATAAAAGTACTAATTGAGATACTAAACATAAAATTTACTTTTTTTCTGTAATACATTCAACGTCAAATTAATTATATTAACTTGTGTACGTTTAAACTTAAATCCAGAATTTGATTTGATTTGTAACCCCTCTAAATGAATATATTTTTAAGATAATAAATTACATTGTATAATAAATCATTTCATTTATTTTATTTCACACAGTTTTTTATGCTTTAGTCAACTAATATTTTTCCAATCTAACAATATAGATTTAATCAAAATTTCAAACCATTTTATTTTAGTTAAATTTAGCATGAATTAAGCAAGAAAAATAATATTTTTAATATAACTTTTTCAACTAAATAATAATAATATAAATTAAATATAGAAAATTTGTCCATTTTAAGCATTAAGAAAGTTGTTACCATTCCTTGGCATTGACATGTAACAATCTCTCATATAAAAAACTAAAATTTAATAAATTAATGATGCAAATCTCGTATTATGAAATGCAAAAATTTAATCGAAGGTTAGAATACTATTATGTTTAACTTAAAAAATTATATATATTTTAGTATTTTTAGTTACAATAGAAAAATTATATCACGAGATTTAGAGTTTAAAATCGAAAATATTAAATATTATGAGAAATTGATATATATTTTTTTGAATAATCAATCATTTGTATTCATCTAAAGAAAGCAGCAAGCTGCTACAAGTAACCAAACAAAAAATAGTTATACAAGACCCCAATCAGTATATAGCTGACTATTTACAGTATCCAACCTATTTATATTGTATCTGTACAATTTGATTCTAACCGCCTCTTTAATAGCATTTACAATGGCAACAAACGAACGCGACAATCCTCTAAAAAAATTTCGATTTCGCTCGTCCCAAATGAAGTAAATATGCCCTGTCCATGCTAGTTTAAGAATATGAACTAGCAAAGACTTGTCTTTTAAGTTTCTATTCAACCAGCACATTCGATCACCCCAGCTCAGGCTTTGCTGCTGCAGTCCACAACTTTGCAGGATAACATCCCAGACTCTCCTCGAGTATGCACAATCCGAGAAGAGATGACTTCTCGATTCCAGATCAACATCACATAACCCACATCAAGCATCAGTCACCATTCCAAAACGAGCTAATCGCTCCTTAGTTTGCAACCTATCGAGTATAGCCATCCATGTAATCAGAGAAAACTTAGGGATACGTGTAGGGAACCATATAAGTTGATGCCATTCCACTTTGTCCTTCCTTTCCCTAATTTTATCCCATATCTAACCACCCCTAGTTTGAGACCAGTTAACAGAAGTAATAAACAAACATCCAGCATGCTCTCTCATTTTGACAAGCTTCCTAAGGGTCCAGCTGAAATGAGGCTTAGTTACAACATTCCAATAATCTTCATGCTTCAAGCAGTAAGCCTTGATCCAGGCTATCCACAGAGAGCCTTCACCAGCCAAAATATTTTTAATAAGCATCAGACAACACGTTTTGTTCCAACCAGCCAAGCTTCTAAGCCCCAAACCTCCCTCTGATTTAGGTGAGCAGATCTGACTCCAACTTACTCTAGCACCTCGAGCAAGGAAGTCATTGCCCTTCCAAAAGAACCTCATACACAGTCTTTCAATGTCCAATATGACTCCCTTCGGCAGAATAAGCTGCCTACTCCAGTAGAAGAAGATATTAAACAAAACAGCTTTAATAAGCTGCAATCTCCCCCCCCCCCAAAGCTCAACTTCCTACTAGACCATTGTCTCAACTTGCCCTTAATCTTTTCCAACAATGCTTTACAGTCAGTCCCAAAAAGCTTCCTGGTCACCAAAGGTACTCCCAAATACCTAATAGGGAGTTGGCCAACTCTAAAGCCTGTTGCATTTCTAATTTGCTCCAGTACACCCCCAGAAATACCACAAGTATAAATCTCAGTCTTCAAGGCATTCAACTTGAGTCCAGACAAATCATAGAATTTATCCAAGATGCTAAGCACCCCAAACACAGAGTCCTGAGATCCATGACAAAACATCAACAAGTCATCAGCAAAACATAAATGTGTAAGAGAGATCCTCTTACACCTTGGATGGAATCTAAATATTCCATTCCTGGCAGCAACATCAAGTATTTTTGAAAGAAAATTCATGATTATCACAAATAGGTAAGGGGATAATGGGTCCCTTTCCCTAACACCTCTTGCACCTCTAAAGTAACCTACTAAGCTGCCATTTAAAGCTATTGAATACCTAGGAGTTGTCACACAGGTTCTAATCTAGCCACAAATTTTTTTTGGAAGTCCCATAGTATCAAGAACATTCAACAAGAATTCGCAACTGATTGAGTCAAATGCTTTCTGCAAATTAACTTTGATTGCACACATAGGGGAGAGATTCTTCCTTGAATAACCCCTAATTATTTCTTGTGCTAGCAATATATTATCAGTGATACTTCTGCCCTTAACAAAAGCAGATTGACTAGCAGAAATCATTCTAGGGAAAAACTGAGCAAGCTTAGTGACCAGGATTCTAGTGATTGTTTCATACACAACAAAGCAACAGGAAATAGGCCTAAAATCCTTGGACATACTTGCATTCAATGACATAGGCACTAGGACAATAGTAGTAGCATTAAATGTAGGAATAAGATAAGTAGACTGAAAGAAAAACCTCACAACATTAAGGAAGTCTTTATTTACAATCTCCCAAACTGCCTTAAAAAACCAGGAGGTGTACCCATCTGGGCCTGGGCTTTTATCCCTCCCTTGTCTGAACAAAGCCTCTCGGATTTCCTTGTCTGAAATCTCACCTTCTAGGATCCTCTCAGCACCAACAAGAAAGGAATGGTTTAATATGTCTTTTAAGCATTCAGGATGGCAACTCTTAACCAAGGGGTCAGCAGCCCCTATAAGTTTGCTGTAAAAATCCACTAACTCAGCAGCCATATCATCAAATTTCTCTAGTAATTGCCAATTCTCATTCTTAAGAACTCTAATGGTGTTCTTACTCTTTTGGGACTTAACTTTCTGATGAAAAAACTTTGTGCTCAAGTCACCTTCATGTAACTAGTGAACCTTAGCTCTCTGTCTATAGAAGTCTAGTTCAGCCATTTCCAAATCAACTAGAGCAACCTGTAATTTCTTCTCCTCCTCCAACCTAGCTTGATTAGCAGCACCAAGGTTTGAAAGCTGAAAATGTTCCAGTTCAGCTCTTTTAGCAGCTACTCTAGCAGAGATATCAGAGAAATGAGTCCTATTCAAATCCTTCAAAATAGGCTTCAATCTTTTCAGTTTGCAAAACAACACCTGCATAGCATTACCATCACACTGCTGCAACCAGGAAGCTTTAAAACTGCTCAGAAAATTCTCACTTTCAGTCCAACAGTTGAAAAACTTAAAAGGTTTTGGTTTATGAATCTGAGCCTCTTTCTGAGTCCAAATAATCCCCAAGCAATGATCTGATACTCCAGGAGCCTTATACTCAGCAAAGGAAAATGGAAATTCCAGCATCCACTGGAGATTAATAAGAATCCTATCTAGTTTCCTGGCCAAATAGGAGCCTTCTTACTTGTTAGACCAAGTGAAAAGAGGTCCTATAAATGGGTGATCTTGCAGCTCCAAGTCCTTCATGCAACCCTGTAATTCTTCCATGTCAGATGAAGAATATGACCCCAAATCACAGTCAAAACTAGGGATGGCAAACGGGTACAGTTTCGTGGATTCCGCACCGCATCCGCTCCAATTGGAGCGGGGATGGGTATAATTTTAGAGGGTAGTGGGCGGGTGTGGATTTATAAAGTGGTACCCGTCGTGGGTGGTGGGCGGGTAATGGGTTTGAGACATTACCCGCCCCGCATCCGCCCACCCAGCTAAATATCTATTAAATTTTGGACAGTTATGAATTTAGGTGTAATTTTATATACTAATTTATACATTTTAATATTGTATAATATATAACATATAATTTATCCAAATATTAAGGATATTTTGTCTTTAATCTGATCTTTAATTAGGGAAATATTTGGTTCTTTGATTAAATCCATAATCCCACTAACCACGTCACTTTCCATGTTCTTTAGCGCATGTTGCTCATCCAAACACAAATTAGTCGTACTATAAGCTTTAACATCAAAAGCAGCAGTTTTCATGTTCTTTAGCCGCTCAAAACCCATATTAGGCGCACTATGAGCATTAACATCGAAAGCAACACAACAATCCAGCTCTGCGACTACATGCTCCTTACAATCTGTCTCCATAACATTCGTTGAGCTACTCCTCTGACAAATTGAAGCATGTGCTGCTACCCCATCACGAACTGTCTAGGAACCAACTCCAACATCCCATTAGTTTGCTGTCAGGCGGGTCTAGATGGGTATGTCGCTAGTGGGTAGTCGATGTGGGGATGGATTTGAAAATGTACCCGCGTGGGCGGGTGTGGATTTGAAAATTTGTACCCATCATGGGGTGGTGGGAGGGTGGTGAATTGAAAAATATTAGGTAGGTATGGGGATGGGGGAGGAGGTATC